CATACAAAGGCTATCAAATTCATGCATTAGTTGCGCACAAGAACTTTCTCTTATCTGTTCCTCCTGTGGCTGCGTACACTGAACCCTTCTCGCAAACACAGTTTCCCTCCTCGTAACCATCATGTCGACGTTTTCTAAAATTGTTGTTCCTGAGATTACATCAAACTTCATGTCCTCGTCTGAAATCACGTGGATCTCGATCCACATTTCTATGCCATCGATATTCACTGGCGCTTTGAAGCTGCCGAAAGTTAGCACCTGACTTTCTCCAATTCCTACCTACCCATCAAACTGCCAACGGGAGCATCAAAATATCTGAAACTCTTGAAGTGGCAGATCCAGGCATACCAAAAGTCAAGAACCAAGACGCTTCATGCGTTCGGGTTTTTTTCGCTCTCATTCTTATTCTCAATTTGAGGCTCGCGCATTCATTGCACCAATTCGGTCGTTCAGTCGCGCATTTTGAAGAAGGTTGCGCCTGAGTTACCTTATCCCCTCACACCAACATAGACACGGCCTGCCCGGCTGCAACAAGCCATCGACTAGCGTAAGTGCTGACTAAGAAAGTTGGCGGAAATAACTCTGCAGCTTGCGGCATAAACACTGCACTCAGCAGCAAGCCGAGACGTTCATATACTTATATACACACTTAGCTTATACTTTTGAAATTTAATAAACGACAGATCAGACGTATTTTCATTTCAGCATTTTATTTCTGAAACACTTAAAATCAAGATATACATACAACAGAGCACCCCGGATCCCGAACTCATAATTGGCGCATCCGGACCACGAACTTGGGATTGAAAATGCCCTACTTACGTCCTTCGTTCTGATTACTCTGTAAGCTCAGGCAAGCGAACCAGTGGTAGAGCAGCAAAATGTGTGACAAAAGTTAATAATCTATATATATAATATAAAAGAAAGTCGTGTTAGGTACGTGATAAATAATCGTGCTTTAGTTTTTATCGAACATATCGAACATACCTCATGTGCGGTACTTTATTAATCAGGTTAGGAATGCCAGCACCATGTCGGAAAGGAATGACGCATTTAATCGAGAAATGAAACGGGAACGTGAATATGATCACCAGGAATAAGATTTAGTAGTTCAAACGAATGTACCCCTGTTGAATTACCAACAAAAGGAAGTTTATGATACTTTAATGAAGGCAATCGATGATGAAAATGGGTGTTTATATTTCCTAGATGCCCCAGGTGGAACTGGAAAGACATTCCTCATGTCATTAGTTTTAGCAACTGCTCGGGCGAGATCTAACATAGCGGTTGCAGGTATTTATTGATATTAAGATAAGACGGATCAAAGTTCGCCAGGTCAGCTAGTTACAAATAAATAATAAAAATAACAAGAAATATACCTACAAGCAAATTTAAAAATCGAACATTCCGTATGTGCAAGTGAAATGGGAAGAGTATGAAACTATATGAATTTTTCTCCCCAACGACTTAAAACTTATACTATTCACTCATGCATTCATAACCCAATATGAACAAGTCAAACGCTGATGAAGCACCGGGATCATAATCGTGACCGTATATGTGCAAATCAAACGCTGATAAGGCACCGGGACCACGTACATGCAAATTAACTTTCTCACTTGTGAATTAGATAAACATTTTTTTTTTTTTTTTATTATCACTTATTCACTATTACAATTTTTCAATAGGTCGAACTTATTTTATTCACTGCTCTTTAACTTTCACTTGATTTTTCTTTGGTGCTCGGTTCGGATCTCAAAAACGGACTGACTGCCTCGAGTTCAATGATTAATAATCAAACCTCGGCTTAAGAGATTTATGATAAAGAGAATGACTCAAGAGAGTCGGAAAATAGGATGATGCAATTTGCCAATTAAATTTGAAATCTAAATTTGGCTGGAAATTGGTGTTTACATTAGCGGACTTAAGGGATCGCTTTGGGAATCTTTGGTTTACGCTAGCGGACTCAGGGCTCGCTTTGGGACTTCGATGTTTACAATATCGGCTTGGATGTTTACAGCATCCGTTTGATGCGGATTGCGTGAAATTAATCTGGGTGGGAATAATTTATCTCGGGTCTTGTCAGAGTTAATTGGAAATTGGCTCTCAGCTCAAAGTTCTTAATAAATTGGGCAAAAGCCCCTAAATAATGTGTCATATAACTCCCCCCATTCTAAATTTAATCGTCCCGATTCATTGGAACTGATGAGTATATTGACTGTATTTGGTTGGTTAATTCGACAATGATATTTTCTTCTAGGGTATTTTCATTGACGGGGATATTATTTATTTCATTATCGGAAATTTTGCTTTCAGGTTCGATTTCTATATGAATTTGCCATGGTTTGAATATTAAAAATTTTCTGTATTTGATTATGACCATAATAATTAAATATATAAATGTGAATATGATTAATATTAACGTAACTGGTATTTGAGTTTGTTTAATTTGAATAAAAGGATTTTGTATGTTAATACTATCGAATTGAGTTCCGAATCATTGGATATAATATATTCGGATACTACAAAATCTCTATATTTTCGAGCGGTGATGTATTCCAATATCTTATTGTCTACATTGGTGTAAGATTTATTATTAATTTAAGAGGTGCCATTAAAGGTTATTAAATATGACCCATTAAAATAAGTGTCATTAACTGTAATGGCTCGATCTTGGATTATTCTATATTTTTATACCCTTGCAGAGGGTATTATAATTTTGGTCAAAAGTGTGCAACGCAGTATATATATTCTTGATCAGGATCACCTCCTGAGTTGATATAGCCATGTCCGTCTGTCCGTCTGTCTGTTTCTACGCAAACTAGTCTCTCAGTTTTAAAGATATCGAATTGAAACTTCGCACACACCCTTCTTTCCTTTGCACGCTGTATATTAGTCGACTATATCCTATAGCTGCCATAGAACTGAACGATTGGAAATGCCAGAACTTTGGTGTTTTTAAAGTTAGGAAGATGGGTTTTTTTATGAGTATTAAGAATGCATCATATGAATAATTTTGGAGAATATAATTTACAGAAGTCCGCCCGAAGTTAGCTTTACTTTCTTGTTTTTATACCCTTGCAGAGGGTATTATAATTTCAGTCAAAAGTTTGCAACGCAGTGAAGAAGACATTTCCGACCCTATAAAGGATATATATTCTTGATCAGCATCACCAGGAGAGTCGATCTTGCCATGTCCGTCTGTACGTCCGTCTGTCCGTCCGTCCGTTTCTACCCAAACTAGTCCCTCAGTTTTAAAGCTATCTGGTTGAAACTTTCCCAAAAGTTGTCTTTCTATTGCAGGTAGTATATAAGTCGAAACGAGCCGGATCGGGCGACTATATCATAAAGCTGCCATATAACTGAACGATCAGAAAAGCCATAACTTTTGTGTTTTTAAAGCCAATCAATCCGACCTACCGAATTTCATAAGGATCGGACGACTGTAGACTATAGCCGCCATATAACTGATTGATAGGAAATGCCATAACTTTGGTGTTTTTAAAGTTAGAAAGTATTGGTATTTTCTATGGGTTTTAATTTTGGCCAATCAATCCGACCTACCAAATTTCATAAGGATCGGCCGACTATATAACTGAACGATTGGAAATGTCATAACTTTTTTTATTCTGCAAGGGTATATCAACTTCGGATCCGCCCGAAGCTAGCTTTACTTTCTAGTTTTCTCGGATTTTGTTACAAATAGATTTTTCCCCATTTAGTAATCTGGTAAAACAAGAACCTTCAGGGTTAAGTGTGCAATAATTATTGAATATTTCTGTCTTAAAATTAGACATTACATAGTACTTATTTCTACATTTTGCGACGTGATTGTCTATTAATAATTTGCCATCATTATGTGAAATGGATCTTGAATTGTAAATTTCACAACGATCGGTTATAATAATGTATTTTATGTAAATTATAATAAGATCTTGGTGCAAAGCGATTTTAAATTCAGATATATCCAATAATTATCCAATAATCCTGTTGGGCCACTATTGAATCTTGAGAAAAACATGAATGTAATTTTGAAGTATTAATTTTTCTTGAAGTGTATGGATCCAATTTGTTAACCTGAGCTGCGCTCTCAGTGGTAAAGCTTAAGTTCTCGCTCTCATGTAATTCACCACACTGGCCACGAAGGCTATTATCCAACGTAAGAATAAAGAGTTCAATTTTGGTACTGCGACAAGACGGTTGGATTTGCTTCATTAACTTAACTATCCCCCCGACTCCCTACAGTCTCATGTGGGTCAGGAAAACGCTCCTGCTCCATCAAACATTTTGGCGCCCAACGTGGGGCAGGATAGTTAATTTAAAAAATTAAAAAAATTAAAAAAAAAAAAATCCTTAGTGTTCAAGTCAACCTGATCGCCCAAAGTTAATTCCGTAAGCCGCGCATTGTTACGTTACGATTCGCCCTACTTCATATGTGATGCGCTGCTCAACGTTCCCCTAACGACACACGCACACTTACATCCGTAGACACGGCAGTACAACCCCCATACACCATCGTTGGAAGGCGCGGGTTGCTCAGAAGATCTGGATTACGCTACGCTGTTCCCAGTCAGCTACGCCACTTATATTCTCGATTGCGGAGCCGAATCTCCATCGCCCCATCGACAATATCATCTCTAACCTGGAAAATCGTTTTGCTGGACTACGTAACGCCACAACGGTAAGGTTACGTCATCAGTGCCAACGCTGCCAGAGCTCTCACGCCAATCGCTGAGTCTCCTTTGGTCTCATTCCGCCGTCACTGTAGTGCTTTTGGTTTAAACCTGCAAGTCCACTGTACACGCGTACAGTCACCACGAGTGCCAATAGCAGTCACCGCGCAACGCATCAACCTGGAACTGGTTCATTGCGGAACCAAAGCGCTGCCATATATTGAACTACACAAGTTGGCAGCATACGTCTATAACCACACACCAGAAGCTCTAATTTATAATTACATACACTTTACAAGGGCTTATTGTAAGTAAATCACAATAACCATGTGTCCCACACCGCTAGACGTATTAAAACAAAAGCGATCTAACATACGCAGGAGCATTTCCCGCATTGGAGCAGCAGTCGCCAAGACGGAGAAGGTTGAGAAGCCAAATGCCGCGCTGACGCCAGCCGAACTCACGTGTCGGCTAACTATTTTGGAGGCCTACTTCAAACAAATCATGGCCGTCCAAACCGAAATCGAGGCACTCGACTCAACCGAGGAACAGCTAAACTACCGGGCCGAGCTGGAAGATCTGTTCATCGCTACAAAGGTGACCATAAAGGATCAGCTTGGAGACGACGTGCACAATTCTGCGCCGCTCGCCCAAGACACGCTACTCAGGCCTGGACCAACATCATCTCTTAAGCTACCAACTCTTGCGCTCCCGACCTTTGCTGGCGAGTACGCGGAATACAGAAATTTTATTACTACGTTCCTGCAAGTTGTAGATCAGCAGGAAGCGCTATCGCCGATCGAGAAGTTTAATCACCTCATAAACCGTCTCAGAGGCGCCGCCTTAGAAACCATCAAGGCGTATCAAGTCACTCCAGAGAATTACAGCAAGGCCTTACTTCGCCTAAAGAGCAGGTACGATAACCCCACCATCGTATTCCTGGACAACATAGCGTCACTCTTCAAATTGCCAACTGTGACCACCGAAAATAGTGTACAGTTGCGCAGCCTGGTTGACAACGCATCAGCGTTGTTTAACTCGTTGCGATCTTTAGGATCCGAAGCGCAGATAGCTCAAACGATGTTGATTGCTATTGTCATGGAAAAGGTAGATAAGAGAACCCGGCAGCTCTGGAACGAATCTCTCACGTTCGCAGCACTACCCTCTTGGAATGCCTGCCTCTCCTTGATTGAACGGCACTGCCAACACTTGGAGTCCTCAATACATCACATCGGCAATCCGAATACGGCTCAAAATACATCCGGCAGAACGCGACAACCGCAAGCTCCACGCATGGGCCACAGCTTTACGTGCTCCACGCAAGCGTGTCCTATATGCTCTGGCAGGGATCATCGGATTTTTAGATGTTCGCGACTGCAAAACATGTCGCCTGCCCAACGTCTAGAAGCTGTCCGGACAAAATCGCTGTGCACAAACTGCCTTGGAAAGGCTCATCATCCGTCAAATTGTCCATCTTCAAATAGGTGCAGAATATGTTCACGGCTGCATCACACTATGCTTCACTTCGATCCGTCAGGACAGGAATCCAGGAGTCCTAGGCGGCCAAGTCCGACTAATGCGCCACCTCAGCACCATGTCGCTGAGGCCGTCGCTCACGCACACGTGGATACCCACCACGACCAAATCATTCTGGCTACAGCCATAATACTAGTGCAGGATGCTGTGGGCAACTACGTACCAGGACGTGCACTACTGGACTCTTGCTCCCAAGTTAACTTCATGTCCGAAGACTTCGCTCAACAACTTCGTTTGCCCCGAAGCAAGGGACCTATCGACATTCGAAGCATTGGCGATTCTTTCACCCGCATCAAGCATCGCATTTCGACCGTTGTAAAGTCACGATTCGGTGAAGCAGAGTTACCCGTCGAATGCTGTATAACCTCGAGAATCGCCTATCAACCCGATGCAGAAATCGACATTTCATCATGGAGCCTCCCAGACAACGCTCCACTGGCTGATGAGAGATTTGTATCAGTCTCGCCATATCGACCTTCTTCTTGGCACAGAAACGTTCTTCACCGCTTTGTCTATTGGCCAAATCAAGTTGGGTCCCCATCTCCCCATGTTGCAAAAGACGATCTTTGGATGGGTAGTATCAGGGCGTACCGGCAATCAAGGCCATGCCGCCCAAGCCCATAGTTTCCTTTCATCAGAGGATTCAATAAACCTGAACCTGGAGCGCTTATGGCGCATAGAGGAAGTTTCTACTACGCCATTAACACTTACTCCACCGCAAGCTAAATGCGAATCGATCTTCCAAAAATCTGTCTGTCAGGTAGCGGATGGAAGACTGATGGTTCAACTGCCCTTCAAGGATGACCCTAATCTGTTGGGAAGGTCTCTTGAAACAGCACGGCTAAGATTTGCATCGTTGGAACGTCGCTTAAGCCGAAACGCGAATTTGCGAGCCGAATACACGAATTTTATGGAAGAATATGAGCGCTTGGGTCACATGGAATTAGTAACCAGCCCACTCCTCAACGAACCCCACTACTACATACCACACCACTGCGTGTTTAAACTCAACAGCACGTCAACTAAGCTAAGGGTAGTCTTTGACGCCTCGTGCCCAACAAGCACCTACAAGTCCTTAAACGACACCCTTCTAGTTGGACCCACGATTCAACCAGACTTGTTTACAATCTTACTAAGGTTCCGGACTCATCGTTATGTACTAACTGCTGACGTCGTCAAGATGTACCGGCAGGTATTAATTGATCCATCGCATCGTAAATTTCAGTACATCTTATGGAGAAGCTCCAACGACCAGGAGATTCGCACATACCAGCTGAACACCGTTACTTACGGCACCGCATCAGCGCCGTATCTAGCAATTCGCAGCCTGTCTCACCTCGCCAATCAACATGCAAGTTCACATCAAATTGGAGCAGAAGCCATAAAATCGTGTTTCTATGTGGATGACTTTCTCGGTGGAGCAAATAAGCTAGATCAATTGAACCAGATTCAAACCGAAGTCATCGCTATCCTCACGGCCGGCAAGATGGAACTGGCAAAATGGCACTCCAACCATCAGGATTTCGTCAATGATACAACGGTCAAGGAGCTAAATCTCGACGACTACGCTACGACAAGCACATTGAGACTGAAGTGGGACCAACGAGAAGACATCTTCAAATTCTCATTCAACTGCAGCACAGCTCCGGAAAGTATCACAAAGCAAACCATTCTCTCAGTGGCCTCATCCCTCTTCGATCCGCTGGGACTTGTCTCGCCAGTTATTATGGTGGCAAAAATCCTTCTACAGGAAATTTGGCTTCTTAGATTGCATTGGGATGAATCAGTGCCAATGACACTCCAACAAGCGTGGCTATCGTTCGTGTCGTCGCTACAGCATTTGGACTCTCTGCTCATCCCACGTTTCTGCCTGCAGCCCCATTCAGATGAGCTCCAACTTCACGGCTTCAGCGATGCTTCAATAAGAGGGTACGGATGTTGCATCTACGCAAGAACAAGGCGTGCCGATGGCCACGTCGAAGTTCATCTAATCGTCTCAAAGTCGCGTGTGACACCAACGAAGAAGAAGACGCTGCCGCAGCTCGAGCTCTGTGGAGCGCATCTTCTAGCACGACTCTACAACCAGATAAAGACAGCCTTTCTACAACACACGCCCGAGACGTTTCTGTGGACAGATTCACAGCTGGTGTTGCATTGGATTCGACAACATTCTGCAACACTTTCTACGTTTGTCGGCAACCGGATATCCGATATCCAAGAATTCACTCCAGACTGTCAATGGAGGTTCGTTCCGACACGGCACAACCCAGCTGACATGATCTCCAGAGGATGCAACCTTTCAGAACTCACCAACTCAACATGGTTCCACGGACCTACATTTCTATCAAATCTGCCGACATCATGGCCACCTAATGTACACGGCAATCTGGACATGGATGTCGTATTTTCAGAAAAACGCAAATCAGCATTCCTTGCATCGACATCGCCTTCCAGAAATAGAGTCTTGGAAGCCCTCCACAACAAGGAATCACACCAGTCTGGCCTAAGATTGGTAGCATGGATGCTTCGATTTTGCGACCGATGTCGGAAGAAAAACCCCTTCACTACGAGGTCACTTTCCCCACTGGAACTGCGAAGGGCCATGCTTTGCGTCGCATGGAACCTACAACAGCGATATTTCATCGAGGAAATAACTCTCTTGCAAAAAGGCGCGCCGGTTCGTAGCCATCTTAAATTCTTATCGCCCTTCTTGCAGATCACAGATGGATTCAACCTACTTCTCGTCGGAGGACGATTGGAGCTCGCATCGATCCCAGACACCCACAAGCATCCTATATTGCTTCCCGCTAAGGATGTTGCTGTCGTCAACTACGTACGTCATCTACACCTGCGGAACTACCACGCTGGACCAAGGGTCCTGGTGGGACTAATGCGGCTGGAGTTTTGGGTCGTGAATGCCCGAGATGTCGCTCGTCGTGTTGTACGCAACTGTGTCCACTGTGTGCGCTACAGGCCTAAGCTGCTGCAACAACTTATGGGCAGCCTCCCAGTCGAGAGAATTACCCTGTCAAGACCATTTGCTCGATGTGGAATAGACTTCTGCGGGCCGGTTCATACCTATCTACGCGTTCGAGGAAAGGTGCCCGTTAAAAGCTACATCGCAATATTTGTGTGCTTCGCCACAAAGGCGGCGCATATCGAAATCGTCGGAGACCTATCAACTGATTCGTTCTTGGGTGCTCTGAAGCGGATGATCGCCAGACGTGGTCTACCTGCAGACATCTTTTGCGACAATGCGACGAATTTTGTAGGCGCGAGCAACAAGTTGCAAGACCTGAAGGACTTTTTCTTCAGCACCAAGAACCAGCAAGACATTATATCGTACTGTACAAACGAATTTGTAACGTTCCATTTCATACCTCCTAGGGCTCCACACTTTGGCGGCCTCTGGGAGGCTGCCGTTAAAAGCGCCAAGAATCTCTTGTACCGCACGCTCAAGGATGCCCGATTGACCTTCGAGGAGCTCTCAACTGTCGCTGCTGAGACTGAGGCGATCCTAAACTCTCGCCCGCTCTCTCCACACTCATCGGATCCCAGCGATTTGGCCGTCTTAACGCCTGGTCATTTCTTAACCGGGGACGCTCTTCGAGCACTCCCAGACTGGCCTGTCAAGGATGATCAGATCAACTGCTCTCAACGATGGAAGCGTGTCAGCGCCATCAAGCAACACATCTGGAGGCGCTGGTCTACGGAGTATCTTCACGAGCTTCAGGCCAAATCAAACTGGACGACTGGATCTTCAAATATTGCAGTCAACGAAATGGTCCTAATCCACGAAGATCATGTCCCTCCTCATCGATGGCTGTTAGGTCGCATCGAAGCAACTATACCAGGTCAGGACAACCACGTCCGGGTCGCGGATGTTCGGACGTCAAAAGGAATCATAAGGCGACCGATTCACAAATTGGCCCGTTTACCAATTAATTTAAAGTAACTAGGTACTTTCAATGGGGCCGGAATGTTGGGCCACTATTGAATCTTGAGAAAAACATGAATGTAATTTTGAAGTATTAATTTTTCTTGAAGTGTATGGATCTAATTTGTTAACCTGAGCTGCGCTCTCAGTGGTAAAGCTTAAGTTCTCGCTCTCATGTAATTCACCACACTGGCCACGAAGGCTATTATCCAACGTAAGAATAAAGAGTTCAATTTTGGTACTGCGACAAGACGGTTGGATTTGCTTCATTAACTTAACTATCCCCCCGACTCCCTACAGTCTCATGTGGGTCAGGAAAACGCTCCTGCTCCATCAAACAAATCCAATAATTAATCCAATAATTACAGGTCTGCTTTCGTGTTTATAAATTTCTTGTATATCATCATTATTTAGAGTTTTAGTATTAAATACATCAATTTTTGCGAGTGTGATTGTGTCCATTAAATTCATAAGATGGTAAGTAAGCAAGCGCAGAGAATATTTTCTGAGTGGAACTTCTTGATCCTTAAAGACTGTTTTGAATTCTTCAGATAAAGATTTGATCTCTTTAAATATTTTAGAATTAATAACGAATTGATCGTTATTGTTTTGTATTAAATCATCAATTTTATTTTTGATTGTTATGAAATCATAATGATCTGGTGTTTCCGTTATCCATTTCCAAATAGTGCCTAATTCATTAATGCCTCTTTTCGATCTATTGGGTATTATTTGAGAGATAAGTATTTTTATAATTTTTAAATCGTGGGATATTTCCCAAAGAAAATTCTTGGTGTCGTGATTCTTTAGAAATTCTCCTTCAAGATTAATTATTTCTCTATAAAAACTTATATTAGTTATATGAAATAAGTCTGCGTATGATTCATAAATAAGAACATCTTTGGTATCCTTGTAAAGAAGGAAATCATGGTTTGTGTAATCCATAATTTCGGATTTGGTTGTAGCTACCAGCTATAATAAGTACATTATTAAAATCATTATATGGAATTTGAAACAAATTATTTAATATTATCTTTATGAATCGTACGGCTTCTTAATAACTTTATTAGGGAGATTTTCCTTAACTACATGTTTTTTATATCTAGAATTAAGCTTATTTCTTTTCCCGTGTTTCTTTTCGTAAATTACTTCTCCTACATGATAATTCTTATTTTGTCTATCTTTATTGTGAAAATGCAATGATTTCTCTTGAGCTTGTTGCAATAATTTAGGAGTTTCCTTATGTTTGATTTTATTAAATAATATATCAAAAGGTCGTTGGTTGGTTATTGAGTGAAATGTTAAATTATATTTTTGTGCTGCTCTAATTATAATTTCAGAATTATCAATTAAATTAAGCTCATCTTAAATGCAGCGAGCAATTTCTGTTAAGGTAGAGTGTGCCCTCTCTATTTGTCCGTTGGACGTACTATGTCGTGGATCTGCAAAGAATAATGATATCCCATTTCTTTGTGCAAACGATTTAAATTGGGATGAAGAAAAACTTGGTTCGTTATCTATCATCAAAGTTTTGGCTAATGGAAATTGTTGTAAAATTTCTGAAACTTTATTTTCTATATTTAGTTTATTAGGAATTTCTTTTACGACTAAATATTGCGAATAAGAATATATATAAGTAATGAATATAAGATTTTGGGCGTAATATATGTCAAGATGCAAACTTCCACCTTCCCTTTCTGGAATAGGTGCTTGACCGATAGGAATTTGTATTGGGTGTCTGTTGTAAACTCGTTAAACTCGTTAAAGCTCTTACAGCTGAATCATCAAGCTGGTTCAAAGTTTTACGTGATGTTTTTTTAGATACTTTGCCATTTTGGCCTTCTAAATATTTTGTTAAAGGTTTAGCTATCTTTGCGTAATTTTGCACAAATTTTCTGTAATATCCTGTAAGGCCTAGGAAGCTTCTAAGCTCTCGAATATTTTTAGGGATCGGATATTTTACAATTGTAGAAATTTTTTTCGCGATCGGTTTTGATCACATTGTGAGAAACAACGTAACCTAGAAAGGTTGTTTCTAATTGTAAGAACTTTGATTTTTCAATCAAAATTTTCTTGTTTGCGTTTAGCAAAATTTTAATTTGACAATTAAATCTTTGTAATGTTTTTCAACAAAATAAATATAATAATGTCATCCATATAAACATGACATGTTTAACCCACTTGTATTGGTATTGTTTACTGTAAATGGCCCTATCATGTCCTAAAAGGAATCTGGATATTTATTTTCGAATGTTCTTTTTTAATAATATTTATTATTTCGTTCTCCAAATCTTTTCTTTGATCTGCAGATGATATTTTTATGTTGTATAATTTTTTATTGTCGGATAATTCAACGACGGCGTATTCAGGATTTATAATTCCCAGACTTTTATTTTTGTCATCCATATAAACATGACATGTTCTACCCACTTGTATTGGTATTGTTTACTGTAAATGGCCCTATCATGTCCTAAAAGGAATCTGGATATTTATTTTCGAATGTTCTTTTTTAATAATATTTATTATTTCGTTTTTTAAATCTTTTCTTTGATCTGCAGATGATATTTTTATGTTGTATAATTTTTTATTGTCGGATAATTCAACGACGGCGTATTCAGGATTTATAATTCCCAGACTTTTATTTTTGTCGGATTTTTAAACGACGGCGGGTTCAGGATTTTTAACTACCAAACTTTTATTTTTGTCGGATTTTTCAAATTGCTTTTAAACCGTCGTCGCATGCAGACGTGTATTTATTGTTTCGGGAAAAAGTATTCAATAAAATCACAAAAGTGCAGTGACGTTTTAATAAATCTACTATAACGCGAAAAGACGCTTTCTGCGATGAAATCGCGAATGTTTATATTGATTGGTCATTTAATTAATATAAAACTTAACACTTAAAACTCTAATTATTTTTACCACGAATACAATGAGTCTGAACGACGTTCGCACACAACGTCAACGTGAGCAAGACGAGAGACGGCTCTCAGTACAAAGAAATAACGCGTACCTCTCTTTTAAAGCAACCGAAAATAATGCAAGCTCTGATCAAGCGCGGGCAATTACCCCCAACTTGACCGAGTTCTTAAACGTAGCGAGCGAGAGAGCGCGTTCTTGCTCTCCCTCGCTACCATCGACGTCCCTGCGGCCAAAGATCGCTGAATGTGCTCCAATGCAGGTATGCATTAACCTAAGCTCATCAGCAGTAACTAGCACCGCAATTTCTTTAACAATGTCAACTGTAACTACAACAACAACTGCAACCGTATCGACTGCGCGTTTAATGACATCATCAGCTAGCAGCGCAAATATTAATACGTCTGCCGCTGCGCTGCCCGAAAAACAGAACAAAACCAATGATGTGCTAAGCCGGCTGTGCAGACTGGTATGGATCGCTACATCCAAATCAAAAGGAAGCTGAGCCCTCTAAATTCTCAAAGCAAAATAACCTGCAAGTCGTACTTAAGGGCATAGAGTCCGACGTAACGCCTGCAGAGATAACAAAGGCGCTTCAACGCTAAGACAGTATTCAACACCCTTAACAGGGATAGAAAGAAATATAGAAATAAATACTGGCGAACAACTTACACTAGCCGCCGTATATTGCCCCCTCGCTTCACTATAGCCGAAGATGAGTTTATGAAGTTTTTCAACTCACTAGGAGACCACTTCTTAGCCGCAGGGGACTACAACGCCAAGCACACACACTGGGGATCACGTCTCGTGACTCCAAAAGGAAAACTGCTCTATAATGCAGTTATAAAAGCCAAGAACAAGCTGGACTATGTTTTTTCTGGCAGACCAACATACTGGCCGGCAGACCCAAGGAAACTACCCGATTTAATAGACTTTGCAATTACCAAAAACATTCCTAACAAGAAAGGAAAGCTAACTTCGGGCGGAGCCGAAGTTGATATACCCTTGCAGAATACTCTATATATTATATTCTCCAAAATTATTCATATGATGCATTCTTAATACTTATAAAATATCCCAACTTCCTAACTTAACAAACACCAAAGTTAAAGCATTTCCGATCAATCAGTTATATGGCAGCTATAGGATATAGTCGGCCGATCCTTATGAAATTTGGTAGGTCGGATTGATTGGCCAAATATAAAACCCATAGGAAATTCCAACTTCCTAACTTTACAAACACCAAAGTTATGGCATATCCGATCAATCAGTTATATGGCAGCTAAAGGATATAGTCGGCCGATCCTTATGAAACTTATTAGGTCGGACTGATTGACCAAATATTAAAGCCATAGAAAATCCCAGCTTCCTAACTTTACAAACACCAAAATTATGGCATTTCCGATCAATCAGTTATATGGCAGCTATAGGATATAGTCGGCCGATCCCGGCCGTTCTGACATATATACTGCGTGCAAAGGAAAGAAGGGTGTGTGCAAAGTTTGAACTCGATAGCTTTAAAACTGAGAGACTAGTTTGCGTAGAAACAGACAGACGGACAGACGGACATGGCTATATCAACTCAGGAGGTGATCCTGATCAAGAATATATATACTTTATAGGGTCGGAGATGTCTCCTTCACTGCGTTGCACACTTTTGACCAAAATTATAATACCCTCTGCAAGGATATAAAAATCTGATAAGCGCCGAATGCCTCTCGGATCTTTCATCTGTCCACTCGCCTGTCATGTTTTTATATCCCAAACTAAATTCGCTTTGATTACCCATTTCAGATTCGGATCTGATTTGAGCCTTTTTATCAAAGTATTTTTATACCCTTGCAGAGGGTATTATAATTTATGGTCAAAAGTGTGCCAATCCGGTTGGGTTTTTCTATTGGTAAAGCAGTGAAGGAGACATCTCCGACCCTATAAAGTATAAATATTCTTGATCAGGATCACCTCCTGAGTTGATATAGCCATGTCCGTCTGTCCGTCTGTCCGTCTGTCTGTCCGTCTGTCTGTCCGTCTGTCCGTCTGTCTGTTTCTACGCAAACTAGTCTCTCAGTTTTAAAGCTATCGGATTGAAACTTTGCACA